AAACTGCAACTGCCGCATGGTACACATGCCAGGTCAGGCACCAAGTCTTCAAGCACAATCCTGGGGGCTTGCCCCTCACCTGCTCCCCATCTATATCAATCTCTCTAGCCTACTGCATTCTTTACCCTCTAGCTCTTATCTCTCCAATCTCAGTTCCAGCCTTTTCCAAAAAAAGTGGGTGAAAGGGTCTAGAAAGGATGGACTATCATGGAGGGTCATTTCCAGGTCACACTGGGGACTGGCTAATCCTACTGTCCCATCCTATCCATCTTCCACCTTATATGCCACTACCATCTCATGCCCCCTAATCTCCATCCTGCCCACTGTCTTCTCTTCTCTGTAGGGGATGCACCATACTGCACTCCAGAGCAGTATAAGGAGTGTGCAGATCCTGCCCTGGGTGAGTGCCCCTACCCTGGGGTAGTCACAGAAAGGGAAGGAGGTGCTACCAGCCATATGCACAGGGTTTTCAGACCAAACTCCAGAAGCTTCCAGTAACTACTGCACCACGTTGCACCCTTACATGTATCTGATTTTAAAGTTAAGAATAGTATCTTCAGAAACCCCTATGAAAAATAAATGGAGATCACCTGGGAGGGGCCTTTACATTCTTTCATCAGCACTTCAGCTGGTTGACCCTAAAGGGCCCTCATGGAATGACCTATAGGATTTAGAAATACTCATGCGAAGGCTGGGTGAGGATCAGCACAGAGCAGTCACAAGACCAAGGTGAAGAGCAGATCAGGAAATGGGGGGTGGGTGGCAGGGTTCCTTTGGGCAGGACCAGGATTTTCATGCTGGGAAACTCAATCAATGCCTCTCACCTGGCTGGGTACAGACTTCCTGGTGGAGAAGGACCAGGAGTACTGCGTATGTGAAATGCCCTGCAACTTGACCCGATATGGCAAGGAGCTGTCCATGGTTAAGATCCCCAGCAAAGCCTCAGCCAAGTACCTGGCCAAGAAGTTCAACAAGTCTGAACAGTACATAGGGTAAGGGATCTACTGTACAGGGAAAGGCTCTTGGGCAGGGACTGTGGAAGGTAAGAATGGGCTTTGATGGGGGACCAGCAGGCAAGAAGGAGCTAAGATAATCTGAGGACGGTCCAAGAATTATCAGAGTATGAGAGTGAGAGTGTGGAGTGGAGATGGAGGGAAGATCAAGCCAGAATAAGCAATGGAAATACCCCTTTTTCCTCCCTCCTTGTTTTATCCTCTGTATTCATCCTCATTTCTGTAACTAAGATCATATCACACTTGCCAGTACATAGAGCATCTTTTCTTATATGCCATTTAATTTAATCCTCATAATAATTACAAAAGGCAGGTATCTCCATCAGCATCTCATCTTATGGACATGGAAACAGGTTTGGAGAGGGTAACTTGTAAGGTTTCCTAGCTAGTAAAGGGCAGAGATATGACTTAGGTCTTCTCCCCCAATCTTTATGCAGGGAGAACATCCTCGTGTTGGACATTTTCTTTGAAGTCCTCAACTATGAGACCATTGAGCAGAAGAAGGCCTATGAGATTGCAGGGCTCCTGGGTGAGCTGCTCATGATACCTGTCCCCTTCCCATACCACAGGCATGGCGTGGCTCCCTAATACTCAAAGTAGGGTGCTCACTCGTCCCATCCTCAGGTGCTTTCCCCCAAACCCTGTTGTCTTGGTATGTAGTGGGGGAAGGTAGTTGAGCCTTCTCTTAGGGCAAAGTGGAAAAGACAAGCCGTGGGTATAAGGGAGGGGTAGGGGTGGAGGTGCAAACTATTTCACATGCCTCTGAAATTGATCCAGACACTAAGAGTGTTGGTGTGTTTTTGTAAACAATTCTTTTTCCTGAATAATACCTGTTTATATTAGAAAAGTAGGAAAAGACAGAAAAGCATGGAGAAGAAAATAAAAATCCTGCCAGAATATGGCTTTGTGATCCTTCTGTATGAAGGCTGCCACTCCCTTTGAGAATATGGCTGGCCTGCCCCACTCCAAGCCTTACTGCCCTCACCAAGTCCTGACTCTCTAACCCCCTAACGCCCGCTCCTACTCCACCACCCCACCCTGCAGGTGACATCGGGGGTCAGATGGGGCTGTTCATCGGGGCCAGCATCCTCACGGTGCTGGAGCTCTTTGACTACGCCTATGAGGTAAGGGGGCGAGGTAGGGTGGGAGCCAGGCGAGAGGCGGGGTTCCAGCCCGCCCACCCCACCCCACCCCTCGTAGGTTATAAAGCACAAATTGTGCCGAAGAGGGAAGTGCCAGAAGGAGGCCAAGAGGAGCAGTGCAGACAAGGGCGTGGCCCTCAGCCTGGATGACGTCAAAAGACATGTGAGGAGCCAGCAAGGAGGCGCCCTCCAGGCCTTCCCTTCCCCCACAGCCCAGAGCCATCACCCCCCCTTTGCCTCCACAGCACCTGTAGCAACTTATGGCCCTTCCCGTAACCCCTTCCTGTTTTGCCCCTTTCCCTAGAACCCGTGCGAGAGCCTCCGGGGCCACCCTGCTGGGATGACTTACGCTGCCAACATCCTACCTCACCATCCGGCCCGAGGCACGTTTGAGGACTTTACCTGCTGAGCGCAGGCCACTCTACCAAACGCCTAGGCGGGGAGGGCTAGGAGAGCAAGGGGCCCCCTAGCTGCCCCCGCATCTGTCCTGGAGACTCACCCACACTTCTGGGGCAGTCCTTTCCTCTTGTCTCTGACGAGGAAGGGTGTTGACTATAGCGTCCTCTCCCTGCCTCTTATCCCATTCTTTTTATTTTAACAAAATTAAACTAATCTAAAAACTTGAGAGAAAGGGGCAAAAGACCTTGGGCTGCCCCCTCTCTGCTCCATGCTGCCTCCCCTAGCTCCCAGCCTAAATTCTTGTCTGTCTGGCTGTCTGTCATCTGAGTGTCTGCCTACATTCTGCTGCCTCCAGTCACCAAAGCCCCCTCCTATTGAGGGGTGGAGGGGATCCTTGGGGTCTGGAATTTGGCCCCAAATCAGAGAATGTACCTTAAGGGGAAGGACTAGTGGGAGGGCTTCCCCAGCCTTAAGAGACCCTCTCAGCCCAGTTATTCCCCCGAAACCCAAGTTTCCAGGCAGGAACTAAAACCCCAGCCTCACTCCCTCACATAATATGGAATCTCTAGCAGGTGGGGGATTCCCCTAAAGAAGTGGAGATGGGGACAAAATGTGGCCCTGGTGCTGTAGGCCACATCCTGATACAAGTTCAACCCCACCCCAAAGCTGCTGGAGAGAAATCCCAAGAGGTAGCCTTCCTCTACATCCCATAGAAGACCTGGCTGGTTAGCTTCCAGCTCAGGGAGAGGGGCACTGGTGCCTGACCTCACTGGTCCCTCTCCCAGAGGCCCTTGCAGAGGGCCACATCCATAAATTTTCTTATGGAACTCTCCCAAGTCCTCTGCCCCAGCTTCATTTGCTTCTTTCAACAACCTCATCTGCATTTTCTATTTCTATATGATACAGACTCTATATTGCTATATCTCTGTATATACTTTCCTCTAACCCTGTCTGTCTTCACCCATTCCCTCTTGTCTCTGAGATCCATCCTCCTACCCAAAGTTCCCCCTTCTGTGTTTATCCCCCCCTCCCCAGTCTTTGAATGCCTTCGCCTGTATAAAGAGTTGGACTCTCTCCCCTGGTGTCTGTACTGTGTACACACATCCCTCTGAGAAGCACAAGGAGACGACACGCGCATTGTAACCTTCGCACTGTCTCGGTGGCGACATAAAGGAAGCTGTGAATCACAAGCTCTGCCTCGTTCTGGCCTCACCCTTTCCCCCCAACCTGGGCACCCTCTGCCCTCCCTGTAGCCTTAACATTCCCTTCCCCTGTTCCACCTATCCCAGTGCCCTTTGCTTGACTGACTGTGGCCTCCCCAGGCAAGAGGTTGCTAAAGAGGTAGCCTCCACCCAGGGAATGGAGAGCTGGGCTGGATATAGAGCCAACAGTGTCAGACACAGAGGGAGGTGGGGATTGGTGACTCTCACAGCTGGGGCAGTGGATGTCCACAGGTAGAAGCTGAGGTCCTCGGTCAGTGACCCAGTCCTGTTCCCTCACCTTATGCGCAAGCCAATCACCTACATTTTCTGATGAGGCAGGGTTTGGTAGTGGGAGGAAAGAGGCAGGCCTAGAAGAGAATTTGAAAGCTCTGCTCTTCTGTCCCTCCCTACCTTAATGAGAGACAAGTGAGGTAAAGGGCCTGCCCCTACCCCCTCAACCAGGCACTCCTTCTAGGCCAGAGCACCAACCCATTTCCAGGCCTTCTCTGCCCAGCTGTCTCTTGGTCTCCAATCCCAGAACAAGATCTGTGTGCAGGTCACCTGTGCATTGGCCTGGAGATGGAATGTTTCTTAGAGATTTGACCTGCCCCGAGGGAAGCAGTAGCAAGGCCAAGAAGTGTACACTGGATAGGGGAACAGCAGGCAGGGCTGGGTGACGCATGCCTCTGGTCTAATAAATTGGGTTTCAACCACGTCCTCTTCAGTGTTGTTCTTTTTGTTGAAAGAATTTAGGTATTCCCGTTAAGTGTCTAGACCTGAACTTGGCATGTGGTCACACAATCAGAGGAGGAGTAAGGAGTTTTGAATAGGGAGACAGGCTAATCATCACACCAGGAATGGTTTACATCACTAAGCAGGGAAAAAGGGAGGGAACCAAAGGCAATTAATTTCCAAAATATAAGTCCCAATACAAAGGATTATTTGGAGAGAGGGCAGGGCCAAAATTCAATATAAGCTGGAACTTAAAATCTGGAAGCAGGTTAGGTTAAAGGTTTAGGTTGAAGTTTCCACCTGAGGTAGTTACTGAGGAATAAGTCCCGCGCTATGAACCAGAAGACTTGTAATTTAGGATTTGCCGTCAGTGCCAATTTATCTGGTACGTCTTTGCCAAGCCACTTATCTCCTTTGAGTTTAGCTTTCCCGTTTGTAAAACGGAATAAACAGTGTGCCCCGCTCCTCACACACCCAGGGTTAAAGAAGTTCGAGAATGAAACGAAAAATAATTAACGCGCCTTGAAAAGTTTAATGTACTGCACAAACATGATGCGATACTCCAAACTCAGAGGGCTGGAATCAGGGTTGGGGCTGGGGCGGGGACTGTGGTCCCTTCCCAGAGCCTAGGCTTCCTCCCGTCGGCCTGGTGGCGCCCGCTCGCGCCGCCTCTCTGTCCTACAGTTCTTCTCTATGGTTTTCCCTCCCGGACCCTGAAGGCGGGAGGGAGTGGTCAGCACGCCTTTTCCGCTAGTCGCCCCCTCTAGCCTACAGTCTCGCTGTCCCAAGCTTCCCATGCCCGCCGGTCAGCCGGGCGCACAAACAGGCAGGCTCTTGGGGGGCGCGCGGGGGGCAGGGGGAGTTCCGGTTCCGGTTCTTTGTGCAGCTGCAGCGGCGGCTCCGGGAAGATGGCGGCCCGGGCGGGTTTCCAGTCTGTGGCTCCGAGCGGCGGTGCCGGAGCCTCCGGAGGGGCGGGTGCGGCGGCTGCTCTGGGCCCGGGCGGAACCCCAGGACCTCCCGTGCGAATGGGCCCGGCGCCGGGTCAAGGGCTGTACCGCTCCCCGATGCCCGGAGCGGCCTATCCGGTGAGTGAGGCAGGAGGAGGGGCGCACAGGCCGGGGGCGGGGCCCTGGGAGTGACAAGGGTGGGGGAGAAGTAGGAGGGACTCCCTTGGGAGGGGTTCTGTGCCCCGGGTGGGGGTTAGGGAGAGGCGTTTAGCATCCCCACCTGCTCCCAGAGGCATTGTTTCTTTGAGGAGTCGGTGTAGAACCAGGGTGGGTTAAGTGGCACTTGGCATGGTTATGGAGTGCAAAGGGGCTTGAGCAGTTCCAGTGCTCACAGGAAAACCCAAGGTTTAGCTGCAAATTGAGGTCAGCACCTAAGGAGATAGCAGAGAAAATATGGAATTAGAGGAGATGTGGGAAGAGTCAGATCCAATATAACCTGGGGATAATTTGAATATAATCATATGATATGTTAGCTTTTGGGTCCTGTTTTTCTATGAAATCACTACTAGAACAGAAGAAGCTCCAGATATCTATATTCCAAAGAGGCAGAGAACTCTTCTCTCATTGACCTGGAACCTCCCTATCTTGTTTCATTCAAAGAACTCAGATGTCCCCCACTTTTTTTATGGGGTTAGCTAAGGAAGCCATTACATCTTTGGGTTCTCTCTCTATTTTTGTAGAGACCAGGTATGCTGCCAGGCAGCCGAATGACACCTCAGGGACCTTCCATGGGACCTCCTGGCTAGGGGGGAAACCCTTCTGTCCAACCTGGCCTGGCCCAGTCAGGGATGGACCAGTCCCGCAAGAGACCTGCACCTCAGCAGATCCAGCAGGTCCAACAGCAGGCGGTCCAAAATCGAAACCACAAGTAAGATGACTTGGGGAGGGAGGAAGGGAAGAGTAGAAGTGGTAAATCAGATGTTGTTATGGGGGCTCATCCTTGAGAATGCCTCATGGTTGTGGTGGTGATGGAGTTGATGGTGTCGGGGGAGAGGGTTTTCTTTGATTTGAGACTTTGCAGGCCCTTACTTTATTATAAATGGAAGTGCTGACAGCTTATCTTCATGTTCTGACTAGTTCTATTCCAACCTGATAACAGTATTTATTCCAAACAGTGCAAAGAAAAAGAAGATGGCTGACAAAATTCTACCTCAAAGGGTGAGTCCAAGCTGTAGATTTTCCTGAAGATGTGGTGAGTCTGAGAATAGAGATGGTCAGCTCTAGATCCCAATTATATATCTTTTCTGTTTCTAAGATTCGTGAACTGGTTCCAGAATCCCAGGCCTATATGGATCTTTTGGCTTTTGAAAGGAAACTGGACCAGACTATCATGAGGAAACGGCTAGATATCCAGGAGGCCTTGAAACGTCCCATCAAGGTAACACAGGACAGCATTAGGCAGAGAGCCAAAGGAGAGGACTTGGGAACCTTCACCAGGCTTAAGATGAGAAATCAAAGGCACAGCACAGCTCTCCTTGGCATTTAAATTGCATCTTTCCCTTCCGCCTACAAACCAAGAATTTCATTAGGAGCATTTAGGAACATAAGAACAGCCAAGGGGGAGGGGCTTTTGATGTCTCTTGCATTAGAAATATACCCTGTCCATGTTTTTGCTGTAATGGCTCTGCTACCTTGGGAACCTGGCAACTTGCATGACTCTCCACCTGGCATCATGGTGTATGCACTTGTACTTAGATCAGTGGCTTGTGCTTCTCTTTTAAATGGAATCTTCATCTACCGACTGGAGGGACTGGGTAGACAGTAAGCCAGTCTGTTAGGATTAATTTTGGGGTTTGGGGAGACCCTTGTCTTTAACATCAAACCACTGAAGCCCCACCATCAATCCTGTTTCTGCCTTCCTCAGCAAAAACGGAAGCTGCGAATTTTCATTTCTAACACTTTCAATCCGGCTAAGTCAGATGCCGAGGATGGGGAAGGGACGGTGGCTTCCTGGGAGCTTCGGGTAGAAGGACGGCTCCTGGAGGATGTGAGTTAAAGGTCCACTGTGGTCGGCATCCAGGGTGGGAGCTGCTGGGAATGAGCAGTGTTGTCCAATCAGCACGAAGCCTAACTGGTGCTCATAGCTCCTGCTGGGAGCATCAGAGAGAGGGAGACTTTTCCCTGTACAGAAAGACAGTAGTCCTTTGTATCTGCTTCCACAGCATTGACCCTCACTGGTATCATATTGTCCTGGGATCTGATTTGTTGTGTACCTTTCTCCTGGTGCTGCTGGTCTTTGAATTTAACAATATTTTAAGATTAGTTTTTGTTTTTGTTTTTAAGTCAAGTGAGTTTGTGCTTAGCATTTGAGGCCATGTTTCCTCTTGGAGTCCTTATGGTCCTTGATTCCCATTGTGGTATCTCCATTTTCACTGAAGATACCCCTGGTTTAAGTGTAATAGATTCCTCCAGCAGGCTCTTTGTGGCTTCACAGGGAACATCAGGTGACAGATGATAGCCTCCAAACTTCCCACACCAGCAGCTCTTTGGGGAAACTCACCTTTCTCTCATTCCTTACACTCTCTGGCTCTCTATTTTTAGCTGCTTGCAGGCAAGCTAATTTGAATGCATTTTTGCAGGAGAACCAGGGTTCAGTGTTGTAGAGTCTTCTCTTCTATATAGGTCCAGTCCATCTGCTGATTGTGTTGTTCTGTCCAAATAAAGCTGTTTTTGTTCTGGCTGCTTATTCCCTGTGATTCATTTCCTCTCTACAGTCAGACTATTTTCTATTCAAACTTGCTTTGTTATGTGCAGAAGTTTGGCTTAACTTGCCTCATTTCCCAAAGGGAAATGAGGTGGGTAAGTCAATGATCCTGTCCATGTAATAGGCTGCTTCTTCAGGGTTCTGTTGCTACCAGGACTTGTTTAATACCCACAGATTCTTTGCCATCTCTTAAGAGATATTCAGAAGGCATTTTTTAGTTTTTTTTTTTTTTTCCCATTGCTATTGTGGACTCTTTTTAAAAAACATTGTTGTGGGAAATTTATTCTAGCCTTTTCTAACATTACCGTTTCTTTTTCTTCTAGTCAGCCTTGTCCAAATATGATGCCACAAAACAAAAGAGGAAATTTTCTTCCTTTTTTAAGTCCTTAGTGATCGAATTGGACAAAGACTTGTATGGGCCAGACAACCATCTGGTAGAAGTGAGTAGTTCTGCTTTCTAGATTTTGACTCTTTATGACTGGAGTATGATGGACTTGGGAGCCAAACTTTAACCTCTAGGGTAAGGGGGAGGTATAAAATAAAGGGTAACCCCAGGTGTATGGTTCTGTCATTGCAGTTTGTAAACTGACCTCCAGGTGGCACTAGCTGTGTTTAGTTTGCAATCTAACTTGTCCCACCTTTTTAATGTTATCCTGGCCACTGTCCCCACTTCAAGGGAAATTCTAATGGAGGCCTCGTTTACATGCCAGGCTATCTCTGCTCTGCATCTTGCTTATTAATACTGGTGAGTCATTAGTTACCACACACCATTCATATGTTTTCATGATAGTAGTTACTATAGTTAAATGGGTTGACTAATAGGATATTAGTACTTGCCTTCGTTACCTTTATAGTTATGGGGCTTCCTTTTGGTTCCTGTTCCCTTAGATTCACATCCAAATCACCAGAAATCCTTTATTTTAATGCCCAGTAGCTCAGTGTTTTGAAGACTCTGTTAGCAATAATATTCTTTGGGATACAATCAGAACCAGAATGAGAGTCCAGCACTCCATGTGAACTTAACTTGCTCCTTTCTTTGCCAGTGTAGCTGCAGCCCCTTAACCTCAACCACTAAGAGACATGGAAAGGTCTTTACCATCTAATAAGGGAAGTAAGTCATAGAATCAATAGAAATTTGTAAATCTATTTAATCTAATTTTATAGAAGTAGAGTATAGTGTCTAAAAATGTGAAATATAGAATCAGATACACTAGATCTCAAATTGTAGCTCCACCACTTTCTGGCTCTTTGACCTAAGCAAGTTATTTCATTCTCCTAAGCATTAGTTTTCTCATCTATAAAATAGGTATTAGTGCCTATCTCATATGGATGTTTGGGAATTAAGTGACAATCCAGGTAAATGTCTTAGAACACTTTGCATATAATAAATATTCAGTAAATAGTAACTACATATTTCTGTTCTTTTTGTGGATAAAATTATCACTAGAAATTCATGCTAATTTAAATGTGATCCCAAACACTTAGGATTAAAAGGTTGATCTCCTTACATACAGACAATAATCACAAAGTCATATGCAGTTTTTAAGAGATGCATCATGTTATTGCTCTTCTTCAGTAGCCTCAGTAATCAGAGTTGAATGAATGTTCAGACATTACAGAAGCTCTTCCCTCCCACCCTAGCTCTTCCTCTGGGAGAGCACCCCCTGACATCTTCCTCTCTGTAGTGGCACAGGACCGCCACTACCCAGGAGACCGATGGCTTCCAGGTGAAGCGACCAGGAGATGTGAATGTACGGTGTACTGTCCTACTGATGCTGGATTATCAGGTATTCTGTGGAGGTGTGAGGGAGTCCAACTTTCATAGTCATGTTCCATTAGTGGTCTGACTTTAAGGGTTTAAGTCTGTTTGTGAATAATTTGTCACTTTAGTATGAAGATAGTTCTTAGTCATGAGTTCTTTTTTTTTTAATATTTTTTTAATTGTAGATGGACACAATGTGTGTATTTTATTTATTTTTATGTGGCGCTGAGGACCGAACCCAGTGCCTCACGCATGCAAGGCAAGTGCTCTGCCACTGAGCTACAGCTCCAGACCATGAGTTCTTCCTTATATTTTCCTATCCTCAAGAAAACACTTTGTCAATATTTTCTGACTAGATTGAATGTTCTTCTGTACTAAGAATCCTGAAGTATACATAGACCCAAATCATTAGTTTTATCGCCTTTATCTGATTCTGTGCAGCCTCCTCAGTTTAAATTAGACCCTCGTTTGGCTCGGCTCCTTGGCATTCACACCCAGACTCGTCCAGTGATCATTCAAGCACTATGGCAATATATTAAGACACATAAGCTCCAAGATCCTCATGAGCGGGAGTTTGTCATCTGTGACAAGTACCTCCAGCAGGTAGGTAAAGAACTCATTCTTTTTTTAAGAAAAAAAATTTATTTATTTATTAGTTGTAATTGGACACAAATGTTTGTTTATTTTTATGTGGTGCTGAGGATCAAACCCAGGGCCTCAAATGTGCTAGGCGAGTGGTCTACCACTGAGCCACAACTCCAGCCCCTAAAGAACCCATTCTTTTGTTAGAATCTACTCAAGCACTAATTATACTCAAAATGCAAATTTGTAGCTGCTTCTTTTTCCCACAGATCTTTGAGTCTCAGCGTATGAAGTTTTCAGAGATCCCTCAAAGGCTGCATGCCTTGCTTATGCCACCAGAACCCATTATCATTAATCACGTCATCAGGTAAGCCTATGCATGGGAGGCTGTGGTATGTGCTGCTGGCACAGCCAGTTGTCAGATTTTTCAAGGATTTTTACAAGCAGGTTGTTAGACATAGCTACTACTTAAGTTACATAAGATAAAAATTAAATTATCATACTAAAAGTGAGAGTGATATATTCTCAAAATTTACTGTTTCCTGGTTATTTTATTACATTTTTCTAGTATTTGTTTTCTTGAGATTACTTGTGTCTTGCTGGGTATGGTGGCACATGTCTGTAATTCCAGTGGCTTGGGTAGCTGAGACAGGAGGATTGCTAGTTCACATTCAGCCTCAGCAACTTAATGAGATCCTATGCAACTTGGGGAGACCCTGTCTCAAAATAAAAAATAAAAGGGGCTTTGGATGTGGCTCAGTGGTTAAGCACCCCTGGGTTCAATCCCTGGTACCAAAAAAAAAAAAAAAAAGACAACTTGTGTCTATATGGTGGAAATGCTACTGTATAATAATTTTTGGTTGCACAACTTTTTCCCATTCCAGAATATTGGAGGCTGGAATTGAGCAAAAACTACACATCAGTGTAGTATTGCTGCCCCCTTGGAGGGTTAATTGTTAAACTTTTATGAGCTGATCACTGATGTGAAGGATCAGCAGCCATGTCTAAATGGTGGGACATTCCAATCTGAGACTAACTCCATTGCTTCTATTTGCTTTTTAGTTCAGAAGATAGAGAGCAAGGCATCTCTAGGCAGATAGAGAGTGAAGAAAGGTACTTTCTCCTCAAAGCAGCATGTCCCTGTAGTTAGATATTGTTCCTTTTCACTCCTTTCTTTGCTTTATATTAAGTCTGGAAAAGCCTGCCATTCCTTATGCCCCGATTTATCATTCATTGAGTAGTAACTCCTACAGTCTATATGTTGGGTCCATGAAAGGTATTGTCTGGATTCCTGAGCTTAGGTTAGGCCAATTTTTCTTTTCTTTTCCTCCCCCACCCCTTGGTGCTGGGGATCAAACCCAGGACTTCACACATTGTAGGCAAACACTGTACAAACTGAACCACATTCCTAGCCCTAGGTCGTGTGTGTGTGTAGGTGTGTGTGTGTGTGTGTGTG